TAAGCCACTCCCTCCTCATGTTCCAGAGCATCATAAGCCACTCCCTCAGAATCCCTAATCTTTGGGTCCCCCTCCCACCAAGGTTTCACTGATGTCTCTCTGCTTTTACCTGGCCTGGTTGGCTCTTTCTTGACTTTCTGATCTCTGCCCACGGCATCCCTGTCTTATCATCTTTTCTGAGTCATCCCTTCCTGGCGTGGTTTTATACGTTTGTTGTTTATTGACATCCCACATACACTTGAGAGCAAACATCTCCTTTGTCATCTTCACCCTACATCCTGGTTGCAGTGCTCTGTCACATGGGAAGGCCTCCATCTTCATTGCTCAGTCAACATGGTCTGGGACCAACCCCGCTCTCTCTGAACCCCCTTCACTCTCCATGGCCTCCATTCCCCCATCTCTGTGCTCACTCTGCTCTCACACACACCCCTCCCGGCCATCCTCCTCCTTCTGCCCTCAGCGCTGTCATTACTCTGGCTCTCCCGCCTCTAGGAAGGAAGCCTGCTATTGAGACCAGCATCTGCGCGCAGTTACTCTCCTTCTTGTCTGTCCCTGACAGCCTTTCATTCCAAGTCAAAACAGCGGTGAGTCAGTGAGGTATCCTCTCAGTGTCTCCCAGTGGCAAGAGAAAGACAGCGCACGCCTGATCAAAACACAGCTATCGGACCACTTGGGGGAGCTTGCACAGTTCCTGCCGCCTCCTAGGCTCCCAGGGAGCCTGCTATAGGCTCTCGTGGATGCACTGGAACCTGGTGAGGTCTGCATTTATCAAATGAGTGTCACTTCCCAGTAATGCCTTGCACGTGAAGCTTTGCCTCATGATCAATTATTTTTAGTATCTCTTATTCCTTTCAACAAATGTTTGTTTGTATGAGACAGTCTCATATGGTCTGGCCTGGCCTGAATTCACTACACAGCTGAGGGTAATTTTGAACTCCTGACCTCCTGTCTCCTTTTCCTGAAGAGTTGGCGATAGGAGAACACAGCACCACAACCCATCATCAGCAAATATTTTTTGAACATAACTACAAGCAGGGTAGGGCACTGGACCAGGGCATACTGTGAAGAGCAACAAAGTCACCACAGTCTTTAGTAAGGAGACAATGAGCTATCATGTGATAGGCTAAGGGTATGAGTCATTGGTGGAGCACGTGCTTAGCATGTGCAAGGCTCTGGGTTCTTTATTACTATTTCTTTAATTAGACAGTGTTCCCAGTACTTAGCTGATGGATTTCTTTCCTCAGGCTGGTTTTGAACTTGCAATCCTCCTACCCCAGCATCCTGAGTACCGTTATTATAGGACTGCATCACCATGACCAGTTAGATTTCCATGTTTTCCTTTTTTTAAAAAAAAATTATGTGTGTGTGTGTACCTGTGCCCTAGCATGCATGTGGAGGTCAGAGGACGACTTACAGAAGTGGTCTTCTCTTTCTCTCATGTGGGCCGCAGGGATCAAACTCAGGTCATCAGGCTTGATGGCAGGTGCCATTCATTACCCCGAACCACCTACCTGATTTCTTATTTCTATGCTTCCTTTTCTCAAATGCCCAGTGTGTGTGTGTGTCTCTCTCTCAGTTTATATTCTTTCTGCTTTATTTAAAAAAAAAGAAAAACAAAAAACCAGAGGGGGAGCAGAGGGCCGGTGGATGGGAAGAGGGGAGGTAGGAAGGGGGATGGGGAAAATGTATAGCTCAATTAAGTACAATAAAGTATTTTTTTTAAATTCCAGGGAAAAAAAGAAAAGAAAACAGAAAGCAGGGTGGTAATGGTTCACACCTTTAATCCCAGCACTTGGAAGACAGAAGCAGGTGGATTTTTGTGAGTTTGAGGTCAGCCTGGTCTACAGAGCGAGTCTGGGACAGCTGGGACACAGAGAAACCCTATCTTGAGAAGAAAGAAAGAAAGAAAGAAAGAAAGAAAGAAAGAAAGAAAGGAAGGAAGGAAGGAAGGAAGGAAGGAAGGAAGGAAGGAAGAAGGGAGGGACGGAGGGAGGAAAGAAAACAGGAGCAGACAGAGTAATCTTTCTCACCACCCCCCATCTTCTTGGACCACCACCCTTTGGGGGACCCTGTCACCACCCAAAGTTGTCTTTGCAGCAACTGTCCCACCCTTTCCTGAAACCTTCCCATCCTTCTCTCTACTTGGCTATCAGCAGCAGTGTGCAGACATGTTGAACTTCCTCAGACAGATCCTCCTCAGCTGCCTTCCTCTGCTTCCCGTTATAGGAGAACTTTCTCAGAAGGTGGCCTCTACTCTCCGGCTCCCCTACTTCTCCCCTTCTCTTTCTTGCTTACAGATTCTCAAGGGTTTACATTTGTAAACAACTGCCTGTTGTTTTGGAGATAGAGTCTCGCTACATAGCCCTGACAGGTCTGGAACACCCCATGTAGACCAGATTGACCTCAAATTTGCAATGATCTTCCTGCCTCTGCCTTACAGAAGCTGGGATTACAGGCAAGAGCCACCACGCCCCACTCTGTAAATCATATTCGTTGTAAATTCAGTTTATAAAATAGCAGATTTCTTTATGGTATTTTCACATGTACTTCATTTTGGTTGGTTCTCCTCCCATCTACGCACCCTCTCTTGCCCTTCTGTACCTTTCTGGCCCCTTCTGCTTTCGTATCTCGTGTCCTATTAGTGTCCCCTTCCCCTCACTTAAAGCCTTCTTTTCTCTGCCTTACAGACCTTTTCTAGTTTCCTAGCATTTACCCACATTCACTCCCACTACATGCACTTATTTAACAATTAGCAGCTAAGATCCCCATCTGAAAGAGAACATGCAGGGATGTCTTTGGAGCCAGAGTTATCTCAATTAATATAGTATTTTCCATTTCCAGCAATTTCCCTGCAAACGTAACACTCTCATTTTTCTCTGTGGCAGAATGAGATTCCACTGTTTATATGCACCACATTTTCATGACCCATTCGTCTATTAATAGACATCTAGGTTGATTCCATCTTCCCAGTATTGTAAAAACAGCAACCATGAACATGACCGAGCAAGTGTCTCTGTAGCAGGACACAGAAGCTTTTGGGTGTATGCCCAAGATGGTAGTTGTAATTCTGTTGTTCTGAGAAGCCTCCACATTGATGCATAGGGCGACTGCTCTAGTTTGTGCTCCTACCAACAATGAAGAAGGCATACTTTTCCCTCACATGATTGCCAACATATGTTGCCATTTTCTTTTTAAATAAAAATCATTTTGACAGGGGTGAGAGAAAACTTACGAGATCTGGGGACTGAACTCAGTTCTTCAAGTGTGGCAGCGAGCACCTTTACCCATTTAGCAATCTCACCACTGCCCCATACATACACGGAGGTGCAGGGGCCGATGCCCACACGTGAGGTCAGAGCAGGTTTTTTGATGCCATCCTCTTTCCATCCCCTCCTCATCACCTTGAGACGGCGTTTCTCACTGAACCAGAAGTTCACCATTTCAGCTAGATTGGCGGTCAGAAAGCTCTGCTTCTCCCCTCCCTACATCCCATCCCCCGTCCCCACCAGGGTTACAAGCGTACATCGTCATACCTAACTTTTATGTGGATGCTGGGGATTTGAACTTAGGCCCTCGGGCTTGCAAAACAAGCCCTCTTACCCACTGAACCATCTCCTCAGACCCTTCAGTACTTTAAGAATATTTATTGTCCAGGGTTGCAGAGATGACTCAGCAGTTGGGAGCACTGACTGCTCTTTCAGAGGATTTGTGTTCAATTCCCAGCACCCACGCAGTGTCTCACAACTGTCTATAACTCCAGCTCCAGGGGACCCAACACCCTCACGCAGACATACATGCTGCACCAATGCACATTAAGTAAATAAGTAGTTAAAATATTTATTGGCTAATTTTACTTCTTTTTATTTAAAGAATTATTTTTTAAAATTAATAAAATGATTTCTAATGATATTCTGGTATATTCCTAGATTAGTGCCTAGCTCAATCATTATCAGAGAGGCTTCCTCCAGCAGCTGATGGGAGCAGATGCAGAGATCCACAGCCAAACATGGTAAAGAGAGAGAGTCCAAATTGGAGATCTCCATCATGTACCTCCCCTAGGAGTTGGGTGATCCTCAGCAGTCCCCGAGGAAGGATTATAGAAGCCAGAGGGATTGAGGACATGGCAAGACTATGACCCACAGAATCCACTAAGCAGGACTCGTAAGAGTTCAGAGACTGAAGTGGCAATCACGGAGCCTGCGTGGGTCTGTGCTAAATCCTCTGCGTAGATATTGTGGTTGTTGGCTTAGTGTTTTTGTGGGACTCCTGACGGTGGGAGCGGTGGTATCACTGACCCTTTGGCCTGCTCTTGGGACCCTTTTCCTCCTACTGGGTTGCGTCACCCAACTCTGGTATCAGGATTTGTGCCTAGCCTTATTGTAACTTGTTATGCTGTGTTCCATTGATCCGCGGAAGGCCTGTTCTTTTCTGAAGGGAAACTAAGGAGGAGTGGATCTGGAGGAGAGGGTGTGTGGGAGGGGGAGCTGTGAGGAGTGCAAGGAGGGAAAACTGCAGTTAGGATGTATTGTATGAAAGAATAATGATTTTTAAAGATTTATTTATTTACTGCACATACAGTGTTCTGCCTGCATGTCTACCTGCAGGCCAGAAGAGGGCGCCAGATCACATGGTTGTGAGCTACCATGTGGGTGCTGGGAATTGAACTCAGGACCTATGAGAGAGCAGTCAGTGCTCTTAACCTCTGAGCCATCTCTCCGGCCCGAGAAAAATTAATTTTTAAAAAAAATTTTAAAAATAAAGAGCACTGGCTGCCCTTTAAAAAATTTTAAAAGTTTTAAAAAATTTTAAAAATAAAGAGCACATGGCACCCAATGTCCACATAAGGCCTGAAAATAAAAAAAAAAAATGTTCAAACCATGGAGTCAAATGCAGCTTCTTAGTGAGCAAGGTGTTACAGGCAGGTTCGGCATACAGAGGCAGCCTGCAGACCAGAGCCAGTCACCAGGACCATGCACTAAGGTGAACCCCACTGGTGGCCGACATAACAGTTTAAGATTCATCTCTCAATCAGAGAACACTGCAGATGCTCAGTAAAGACAGATCCAGATAGAAAAAACTCTAAATAGATTACAGTGTGCTTAAAACATCTGCATAGGCTTAAAAACAAAAGAGAATGTATATGGACAGCCACGGAAAAAATATAGTAAACTCTCTGAGAGAAAATAAAATTACATAAAAAGGATAAGCCACGTGGAGATGAAAAATACCCAGAGTCTGGATCCTATATGGCGTCTTGTTAGTTGTAAATGGTTTGATTGCTGATGAGTGAGCAATAGCTGCCGAGAGACACTGGGGTGTAGAAACTGCTGAATTAAATCAACCTGTGTGTTTTTAAAATGTCTTAACTTCAAAATGGAAGTAAAAAAATATATTACATTCAGGAAGATATTATGCTTTTGTTTCCACAAAAAACTAAAGGCTGTGGCTTCATTCAAGGTTGATGGAGATCAGATTTGATCAGGGGAGACCCCTGAAAGTCCTGGCTATAGACATAAAGAAGTAAACTTAGAGAGAGTACAAGACAAATGATGTCAAGCATAAAACAAAAAAAAATTATCTTTCACTGGCTTGTGTACAACACAAGTCCATACTTGTGTTAATGCAGATATGTATGTTACCTTTGAAAGTTTGTGTGTTTTTAGAGCAAGGGGACAAGACACAAATAAAAGCGCATGGCCCAGATGACCCAGCCTCTCAGAGTGCCTATGTTGCAGTTTCCGCAAAGTTCTGC